AGGCACATCGACCAAGGGTAATGTGTGGGATTATATTTCTAATCACCTCATATAATAGATAGATAGAAGATGGATAGATAGATATGAGTAGATAGGATGGCATAGATAGATAGATAGTAGATAGATAGGATAGATGGATAGTAGATAGCATACGATAGTAGATAGATACGATAGGCTGTTCGGGGGTGTTTGGTCACCTTCTCAACTCCCTTCATCTTATTTAACTTGGCAAGTTGACTGTACGAGCCACATTCCTCTTTACAGAAGAGAGCCTTGGGGAGTTCCTCTCTCACTTTCTCTTCCATTAAAGCTACTACACACTCCCGAATTAGTTTTCGTGCCTCCCTGCCTTTGTGTTAATTGTCAAGTCTCTCTCAACGGTACATATTGTTTCCGCATTTGCTAATGTAGGCAGCGGCAGAGATTAGATAAGTTGTAGCGCTCTATTGTTGTGGCCACCTATGTATCTGTGTGTTAATGATGTGCATGGATGTGTGTGTGTGTGTGTGACTCATAGCGTGTGTGTGCGAAACTGATTGTTTTGCGCATTTTGTGATGCCCAGCCTACATCTAGGATTAATTTCCTGTGGCACACAATAGACTGGAGCTGATGCTATCGGTCCCCTTATCAGTGTTGTGCTTTCCAGAGTCTGAGCCATATTATATGTCTTATCGCTGATAGGACTGGTGACACAGAGCGAGGTTACAAGTAGCTCAGTCACTCTGGTGAGACAAAAATGTGTATCTTGCCCAGACATCTTCTGCCTAATATTTTCCTCCCAAGTGTTATTGGGCTGTTAATTGAAAAAGCTCCTCTTGCAGTTTTGGCTATTCCAGTGTCCTGAGTGCAGGATTAATCGATTTTTCTTCCTTGCGGGGAAGGGGTTGCACAAAAGACCACACTCTCTTGACTATAAGTAGATATATAGTATAGTAGATATAGTGATTGATGGTGAAATTGCATGTTATATGCATTATATGTTTTTATTCTTCTATGAATTTCCACACAAATCCTGTCATCGTGTTGCAATTCAGTTGAAAATGCATAAATCAGCACAGTGGCTTCGCATCAATATCATTCCGTGACATGGAGACAATATCTTGTGTTTCTATGTGGAACCAAGCCAAACCACTAATGGTGCGTTACTTAAAACCAAACGGCAGCCCTGCATGCAGTGCTAAATGAGCCCTAGTAAGCCCAAATACATAATGAAGTGCTGAGAAACTGCCTGTATTTATCAAACAGTTAAATGGGAAATGATGGACTTTTGGTTGTGAGAGATAAAAGTAAAAAATCCTTATATAATATGATATATATATAATAATATAAGATAGCCCCAGAGGTCTGTGACGTTGGTTAAGAGTAGACTGCAGAACAGAAACAGGTGAACATACACCTTCTGAGACATGTTTTGAAATGATTGCGCTAAATAATTGACATGATGAAAAGCAGCGGAAGCAGAATGTATAATTCAGGATTGGGTAGTGAAGCCTATTATTTGCATTTGATATGAGTTTAATAGGATGCTACGCAACTATTTTTATCAGGGCTGCAAGCAGCAGTCACTTTCCATGCATCTTCATTGTCAGCACCTGTCACTTAATTCTCCCTATGATTTCTCTGATGTACCTCAAATAGTAGACAGAATTTCTCATGAATATATCCCTATATGTATGTTTATGTATTAGATATGACATTGTTGTTAGTTTAACATGGTAGTTGCCACCGGAGCTGTTAAGGATTTCACACCAATGAAATTAATTTCTTTAAACATAATAAATCACTGAGTGGATTTGCAGAAAAACATATTCCATATTAATTTTTTAGTGAACAATATGGCAGACGGGGGGTAAATCCTTGTCTCTGATTTGCTATTCCTGCTCGGTGCATACATGATTAATCATGGGATTACTTTAGGGTTGCCCTCAAAAGTTACTCTTACACTTCGCTATAAGGACTAAGTACCTTGATAAATGTGTATAATGGCTCACTCTCAGCGAAGAAGTCGTCTTTTTCTTAAAGTGTATTTACTATGAATGAATAGTATTAATAATTCACGTCACCTTTTCACTCTTTAGACAAATAGCCATCTGGTTTTCAGAGGGGTTACGTTATTGTCGTCATGATAAAGCAGCTGTGAGGGTTAAAAAAAAGCTGACTGTGGTGAACGGCGGGTCATCCCCTTAAATCTTCAGACAGATTAGGTGCAGAGCGAGTACGACTCTTCCCTTCAGCGGGCCTGTCGAGTTGACTTTCAGTAAGACGTGGAACCACAGACAGCACCAGCGAGTCCTTTCCAGCCACATCATCTCACAACGAGCCTGACAGGAACAGAGAGTAATGGAGAATGATAATATTCAGGATGAGTATAATGTGTTTTTATGAGCCCCGATCCCGAGGCGAGAGACGAACTTCGTCAAATTCGGCTCCCATGCTGAAACAGCAGTCGGCTAAGTATAGGTTGAGTGGTGTGTGTGTGTGTGTGTATGTATGTGTGTGTTGCATTGTGCGGTGTGACAGATGAATGTGGGTTTGTCACATAAATAGAACATGCTGAACACCTTCAGGAATGCTGATGGAGAAAGAGAGAGGCAGCGAGAGGAAGTGAAAGCATCAGGGAGACAAGTGAGAGTCGGAGAGGAAAAAGAGGGATTAGAGGTAGAAGAAAGAGTGATGGGAAAATGAATAACAAACAGGTGTTACATTCAAACATCACCCTCTTATGTTAGATAAGCAAAAAAAACCTCCCTATCATGTCTGTCACTGTATAGTAACATTTGTGCCAAAGGTGATGTTGATTTAAAGCCACTGTAATCAATATTTATTGACAATGGATTACATTACAATGTTGTGACAAACCAGAGAGGCATCACCCGACTCTGCAGTTACTTTTTGTTCAGTTGTGTTTCACTCACAGTGTTGTTTTCAGCTGCTGCAGGCCAAGGTTTTCAGCAAAAAAAGCTCTAAATAAACCCACTGTAGGCTACCTGACCATCACCAAGCTGCACACAGACAAAATTAGCGACAAGGTGGTGAAGAAAGTGGAATACTTAGCAGCAAAAAAAAACTGTTCTCTGCTGTTCCGGCACTGTACAGTACTTTGTGTTCAACCACGGAGACTTTCTTGGTAGCCTAGTGCGATATTCTAGGATTTTATGAGGCCTAAGACAACACTGAGTGTGTGGAGGAAAGATGAGACGTGCAGAATGGCTGTTAGTAACAGTACAGGGAGGCAGAGGATGAAACGCAGGACGTTGTATGTGTCGGTCTTTCCTGTGGAGTGTTTTGTGGACATAAAGGGGATGAGGTTATTATGGTTCTCAGGTTTACTCCTGGGCCTGTTTCAGGATCTGTAAGTGGTATGTGGTAGCATGTTATTGTGTGGTTGGACATTTAGAGTACAGCCAATTATAAAAAGGCAGCTAAGTTGTCATTGCAATTATATATGCACCATTCAGATTCTGGCTAGCAATATTAATTTTGGAACAGTAGAATTAGTCTGAATATTGATCTGATTAGAGCTGAAACGATTAGTTAATTAGTCGATCGGCATAACATTAATCAGTAACAATTTGGGCTTTTTTAAAGCAAACATTCACTGGGTCCAGCTTCTCTCAAATGTGAATATTTTCTGCTTTTTACAGTCTTTTATTATAATAACTCAATATTTCAGTCGGTCAGATAAAACGAAAAATTTG